CACAAGTATATATTATTATTAGAAATCAACAATTTGAAATACATTTTAATTGAACTGATTCTCGTACAAAGCTTTCAAACAATCAAAAGTACATATTAATATCAACTGAAATATCCAAATCATCTTCTATTGTGACATCATTGTCTTCATTTTTTCGGGTGTGCAAGTTTCCTAGTTTCCTCGTATATGCAAGTTTCCTAGTTTCCTGCCATGAAAAAAACTTTAGTTAAGCAAGAAGATAATCATCAAATGAGTTGATTTGAGAAAACAATATACCTTCAATGTCTTGAAGTAACAAACACAGAATACCTGTATTCCCATTTAGGTTGTCATTTACCTCTAATCTCAAATTCTTGGTACTTAAAATGATAAATGTTCTGATCATTTCAGAACATAATAATATTCTGGCAATAAGATCAAATCATTTGAGATGAAAACTTGAAATAGAGAATTAACGTTAGGTCAATTGAATGACCGAATTCAGTTCAAAATAGATAAGTTTCAAACACAATAGTTTAAATGACACATCAGCAAACAACGCAGTTCAGCAAAAAAAAAACAATTCTAGCCCTCAGTCTTTTCTGAAATATATTTTAGGAATAGCCTTAATCAGGCTTTTCTTGTTTTATGAATGCCTTCAATTTCTTTGATCCACTTGATGATGATTCGGCAAAAAGAGTACGATTCACTGAATAGTCCTCAACATCAATAACTTTTCTAGCAACCCTGTTCAATACAGGGCTATTGCTTTTATGTCCGGTCGAACCAATATGCCAATTAATTTGAGTAGTAAATATCGATTGGAAAAGAGAACAGTAAGTATACTCTAACAATAACAATAATAAAAGATAATCATTTGTTCAACACCAAAGGACATACCTTTTCATTTTCATATAGCTCCTTTCGAAGCGCAGTAAATTCATCTTCTTCCTGTAATCATAAAAAAATAATTGTTAACATTAACTACCACATAGTTCCTAATATTTGAAGTAAATGGAGAATGCCATGGAAATATGGAATTTTCGTATACCTCTGCAGTTTCTTTTTCATGAGAGTACAATGATATCACTGAAGGGTCTTTGATAGAGTCAATGACACTAAAAGTCTTCCTTCCCTTGTACACATTAGGATTCTTCTTAGTTTTCACTTTAAACAACACTTGCATGTCAACCAATGTGTCTACTTCGGGTGGAAAATTTCCACAGCTTCCATCGTTGTTCTGTAATGAACATAAGTTACACTTATTAGCAATTTTGACTAACTGCTCCGCATGAAATTTTGTTTGAATTTGCTCAATATGAAAAGTTCATACCCTCATATTTCTCTGCAGTGTGGCTGCTGTTTTACCAATTAATTGCGTGCATTGTTAATCCCACAAAACAAAAGTAGTATTACTTGAGTGATCCATAACTCTGAGATCAATCTTATACCTAAATATGAATTTCAGTTGTTATACTACGATTCGACTCGTTAATAAAATAAGTATTTAACATTTTGTGAACAAAAAATGTACCTAAGAACAACTTCAGTAGAATCACAATCACTACAATAGAAACCATCACCCCTTGGTTTAACCTTGCGACTACAACTTTTGCACGAAGTGTAACTCCACTCCTTATAGTTGTCAAAGGCAACTATTTCTACCAATGTCCAGTACCTACCATCCTAAATACAAATTTAACAGTTAGTATACATTTTAGAGAATAGTGTATTTTATTGATTACTACCTCTTCAATTTTAAGCAAGTCCTCAATACTTTCCAGTCTGACATTTCCATTACTGATGTCATTAGCAGTGGATTGTGATGAGTATGTGATGGTTGGAGTAACAGTAACTTCTTCACCGGGAGGAGGGGGGGGGGCAACCTGTTTACAAACAATGAAAAAAGTTATTCGGTTTCAATGATTAGTTTGATAACTGAATTTATGGAATTTATTTTATGGAAGATAAAACTTTTACACATTCAACTTATCAAGTTTAATACCCATTCATGGTGTAGGCATGCTGAAAAGCTATGTATTATCATTGTCATGCAGAAAACCGATACAAAGATAGTTCGATTTGAACACAGATTTTGAACACTTATAAACTTATAATCTGCCCCCTGTTTCAATTTTTCAAGTTCACCAAATATGCCTATTGGCATGAAGTTCTAATGAAATAATATATTAACTACCTGTTTTCAGTCGCTTTAATGATAATTTAATTCTTTTGCAGGTACTAGTCACAGGAAAAATCCGTGGTTCAGTTAGGGAGTACCATATCGGAAGAAAAAGTCTGGAAGGTACTTAATATTGATGGATTAACGATGAAGTTGAAAAAGCAACTATATAAAAAAATTAGAACAAACTTGAATAAGTAGCAGTTCCAAAAAATGTTTGCAAGATGCATTATAAAATTTATACAAATTCAATCAATATGGATGTTGGTATTATAATGTTTTCGTATTTAAAAAAACATTATAATTTCTGAATATTGTTAGTATTGTTAAAAAATGACATGTGAAAATATATTCTGGTGTAAATGTTGGGGTTGCTTGGGTTGCTGTATAAATGTTTCCAATCTATATATAAATCTCTCCAAAGTATTCTTTTTCAACTTTTTAAAACATAACTTTACAAAGAGTAATATATATCAAATAAGAATGAATGAGAATGAATCTGGACCGTTAGATTTGCTTTATGTGAAATTCAATGTGCATTAGATGAAGCTGTAATGTGTATTAGGTGAAATTAAAATGTGCAGCACAAATGGTACAATGTAGTGGCATTATGTGAAGTTAAATTGTGCATTAGGTGAATTTGAAATGTGCACTAGATTAAACTACAATGTGCAGAATAAAAGGTACGATGTATGTTATTTTTTTACATTTTATTCTGCACATTTCAGTTTCACCTAATGCACATGTGAGTTTAAATTTTAATTCTGCACATTTCTATATCATCTAATGCACATTTTGGTTTCACCAAATGCACAATTCAGTTCCACATAATTCAATCCAGCGGTCCAAATTCATTCTCATTTCTCTCCTAAGATTCGTTCTTACCGGAACCGCTCCCTATATATATATGTGTGTGTGTGTGTATGTATTGTGTAAAGTGGGAATATACATTTGTTTATTACGATGAATAACATACCTTTCCCGAAACTCCATTACATCTTGATGTTCTCCATTAACTATGAGTTTGCTAACATCATGCACATTAGACACATAAATCCCTCCTGTTTAGTTAGGATTAACCATCAATATCATAACATCGTCAAGAATGAATTTATATGTATACGTGTTATGAGTAGATAAAATATGTAACCTTGGTAATTTCTAGCTCTAAAGCACTGTAGCACCAGTATCGTAGGACTTGTAGAACTCTTCTTGTAGGCTTCATATTGATTAATCATTTCGCCAAAAAGAGTGCATGTTATCACATTATTTCTACAAAAATCAAAATAAAGATGCAATGTGAAAAACAGAATGCAAGAATACAATGAACTAGAATGTAAAAATATGTTAATTACTGTTCATCCGCAAACGGTATTTCCAGCAGTTTTGTAGCACCATTTTTCACAGTTTTCATCATTGCATTGCCGTTAACCTTTCCTGTCACGCCCCGGACCTACCCGGACACGTCAACAACCCGCCGTACAGTACGAATAGTTAACCGCAGTCCGACTCATCCATACTATACAAGGCGTCTTGAATACCATTCACACATAGTACATCCATAAACAAACATAATGTAAAACATTTATTAAAGCAGCGGAAACAATTGATACAAGTGTTCAAGCCACACTTGGCATAATTAGGCATGCAAACCCCCAAAGTAATTATTCAGAAAATATTATCCATGAGCATTATTCATATTGTTTTCAAAACGAGAACGGAAGAAGCACGAACCAAGTCTTCTTCTCAGGAATTTCCCGAACAGTGGCTGGTAGTAGCAACCTTCAAGTTCTACCTGAAACTGTGAGGTGGCCTCCTCCGTGAAGGGGAGGTCAGTAATTGGAAGCATTTGACAAGTACAATGACAACTATACTAAGTATAATCGAAGTTTAAATCTCTGAGGCCCTCAATCTAGAGCATTATTACATTATAGTTAATCCGTTCATTTAGTATCAATTCATCATTTTTACTACGGTCTAGAGCCCAACTCATAATCACCGTTATCTACTACGGTCTAGAGCCCCGCTCATAATCACCGTCATCTACTACGGTCTAGAGCCCAGCTCATAATCATCGTCATCTACTACGGTCTAGAGCCCAGCTCATAATCACCGTTATCTACATCGGTCTAGAGCCCAGCTCATAATCACCGATTCTTTATAATTCTCATTCCTAGGATATAATTCATCCATTTCTCAACTAACATTTCCAACTAATATTTTAATGCTAGTTATTTATTTATTTCAATATAATTCTTCCTTCATGCATGATTGGCCTAAATATCAAGTATCACTTTCATACCTTCATGGCTTCTCCTCATGGTATCAAAGTATACTATCTCAAATGAAATTCATGGTTGGTACAACCATCATACACACATATTCATAACATCTAAACATACACAATTTATTCATAAATTTGTGTATCATGCATACTATACTTAAAATCAATAGTAGTTTTATTTAGGCATTATTAACCATTAACAACCCATGCACATCACATTTGTATTCACTTAGGAAATCCCATGAAATTAACCCAAGATTATAAGTAACATAGTCGGTCATCCTCACCTTAATTAAGCTTAAGCGCGTTCTACGTTCCTCGATTGAACTTTGACCAACTCCGGCGAACTTTGACCAACTCCGGCGAACTTTGACCAACTCCGACGAAACTCCGGCGAAGCTCAAAAATACTTTAAATCAAGTTCCTAACAAGGTTTTATCATCACAAAACCCATATCAACACAAATAACCTATAAAAGGTTATTTTCCGGCAAACCGATCGATTTGGCTTCTAAGTCCGTTTTTGGACATAGAACCACTTTCCAACCCATAAATCCATACTTAGAGCATGGAGAACCATCCCAAGGGTTCTCCATATAATAAATATGCCTCATGGTAGAAGAAGAATAAAGGGAAAGCTATGGCAAGGTGATCACCTCAATTTTCCACACTTTCCTACACCTTTTTCCTTCTCCAAGCACTCCTCTTTGGATCCTCTATCTTGAGCTCGAATTTGGGTGTGAAAATGAGGAGTTTCAGAGCCCCTCCTTGCTACCCTAGGGTGCTGAATCGTGTGGGTGGAGATGGTGAGGTGAGAGGGGTGGTTTTTGTCTCATTTAGACAAATGAGTGAAGGGAGGGGGTCTACTACATGTCAAGGGTGTCTCCCCCATCCTCTCAATTGTTGTTCAGCCAACTTGGCACTCATCCAGCCCTCAAGGGTTGACAAATTCGTGGGGTGGCCCCCACCCATGTGGGAGGTCATCCTAATTTGTCCCAAAGTGTACAATTTACCCCGAAAGTTGTATTTTCCGGACTGTTTTTAGATCTGTTTTATTTTATCGGGTTAAATAAATATATTATGTGTTCTTAATCATTATACCATTTAGAATGAATATGCATTCCCCAATTTTAATTTATAAGTCTCAAAAATCCAATTTCGGGCTTTTATCTGATAAATTTATCGATACCGGTACTTGGGCCTCTATTGACCAGTCGGTCGACTCTGGGCCTTTCCATGGCCCAAATGAAGTATCCACCATCTATAAATATTTTCTAGACCCAGACGAATATAATATGTGGTCCCGATAATATCGGGCGGTCCCCACTCCCGATGTGGGCCCCACGTGCATTTTACTATTCACGCGAAAAAAATTAATACAAATTCACAACCTCGTAAATTCACTAAAAATTTCATAGGGTTCAATAAATTATTCGCTTAAAGATAAGTACATTTGGGGACGGTGTTACATTTCCGATCATATTTGTGGTAATTTTTTAACAAAAAATCAGTTTAAGTATTCAAAATTTAAACACCATATATATAAGCAAAAACAACAACAACCATGTGCTTCATTCTCATCAATAATATCATGTCCTTGCAGAACGGCAAAAGAGGTAAAAGTAAAAATGGAATGAGGTATGCTCTCTCGTTGAAGTTCAAATGCCCCAGTTTTGTTGACAAACTGCCATTTGTAGATGCATCTAGTAGTGCGAAATGGCATGTAGTTCTCCTGAACCATGAAGTGTCTTATGGCATATGCCAAACCATCCTTACAAGTATTCCTGAAAAGCTTCATCTGTGCGTGAACCCTTGACCCCTGATATAAAATAATATAATTTTGTATGTTAAAAATTTCATGTGTATCATTTGATTATACTCATTATTATGAACTGAATGAATGTTTGCTCACTTCTTCATCACAGAAAACGCACTCGATGCTTGGCGGCAGTTTGGCATTGGTGACGTTGTAAACGCGGACTGCACAAACCCTTACTTTTCAAGATGATTTTGATTGGTCAACGTCCCTGATCATGCTCCACATTCCTACCATTTTGGAAAATTTGGACACATGAATACTCGAGTTAAACTTGTCTAAGAAATGCATAGTTGTGGTGTATATATAGATTTTCTGTAATGGCATTCAAACGAAAAGGCTGCATTGATAATTGTAACATTGGGACTGTCTGGAAATTTATTTTGCACGTGTACATGTGCAAAGCAATTCTTTTGATTTTAGTTAACTAATTCCCCAAGTACGATTGTATAGATATCTATAGCGTATTACATTGGAATCTGGAAAGACCTTTGGAATTTGATATTAGGAATCTAAATCATTTGTTAAAGTTCATCAATTAAATAATTTAAAAGAAAAGATGTCTAATAGTGCGTAGCATCCACTCGGCAGCATTAAATGACAATAATAAACTCCGTTTCTTTGTGAGACATAGCAGGAAGCTGTTACTGTACATTTAGGCGGGAATACTGTAGCAAAATCAATTTGCTATTATATTATAATATATTAATAAAAATGATGTTGGTGGAAAATTTGATATACGCCTAAACTGTATTACAAGTTTACAACCATGTCAAATACTCTCTCCATTTGTCAAATACTCTGCATTTTTTCGTTTAATACTTGTTTTGGTCAATTGCAATGTATTTAAGCACACCAGTGTATGTTATCTTTTGTATAATATTTACTTGCCATACCTTTTTTTTAAATAAATACTTGCCCTGCCTTTTCATCTTCTCAATACTCATTAGCCATACAATTTTGAGACAATTATTTAAATTTGTTAAATAGGACTAATTATTTGTATTAGGACAAAAATAGCCTTCTTAGTTCCTGTTGCAACGATTCGCTGGGTGCGATGAAGGTCGTTTGCGAGTTGCGATGCACGGATGAACGGCTCCCAGGGAAGTTTCTTCCGATCTTTTTCTTGTACTCATCTCTTAATTTCTTCTCAAGCTCCCTTGTTTTCTTCTTCTACAGGTCTTCTATTTTCTTCTTCTTTTGGATTTCCAAGTTTTTATAATCACTGATTTGTAATAATGTCACTTTCATGACATTACATTTGCTAATGTGACAATTTCAAAGAAGAAAATGACATTTCCAGAGTAATAATGTCACTTTCATGACATTTTCAAAACAAAAGTGACATTTTCAGATTGTCATCCTAGTAAATAAACTCACAAACGTGACATTTTTTCCAAATAACCAATAATTTTGACATTCTCGGATTATAAAAGTGGCATTTTACTGAATAAATAAATTCAAATCCAAAAAGTCCAAATTAATAAATAAAATTCGAATCCAAAAAATTTAAAGAAGAGAACAGAGGACCAAAAATTTGAAGAGGATTAGAAGAAGAAGAAGAAGAAGAAGAAGAAGAAGAAAGGAGGGGGAGGAGGATACCTATGGTCGATGGCAGAGCTACGGTGTGACGCCATAGCCGATGGCAGAGATGCAGTCCAAAGGAGGAAGAGATGTGCAGAGCTGCTACAAAGAATTCCGGTCGATGGCGAGAATGCAGCGACGAGTGCAGAAGGGTTAGAGCTATCGATGAATTGCAGCGATGAATTGAGAAGGGAGAAATTGGGGTTTAATTAGAGAAGGGCAAAAGTGTAATCTGGAGTCCTATTTAGGGAATAAAAAACTTAAATTCCTATTTTGGAATGCAATCCATGTTTTAGTCTCATTTTAGGTAATTTCTTTACAATTTTTTATTCTTAAAATCAGTTGAAAGTCCACTGGACCAAGTAAAATAAATGGAGGGACACCGCATAGATGTGCTACTCACTGACTCCTATATTAAGATTTCATTTTTCACTTACAATAGTCAACTAATGAATTAATGATTAAATTACGTTTCTCAACAATTATTTTAGTTGGTATTAGTAATTACAGTAGACATATTTACAAACTGCAATAAAAGTTCATGACAATAATTTGTTATTTTAAAATTACTATTAAAATATATTGCAATTACGTTAATAACAGGAATATCAATATAAGTGGTGTATTGCAGCTTCGTTTGGAAAACAGCTGATATTTAGCTGGTTCGACTAAAAGTAGATGGTCCAAATGGTAAAAAAGCTGAAATTGTTGTTTGGTAATCAACTTGTTGATTCGGCTGTTTGGTCCCAAGAAGCCAAAAAACAAAATGCCAAGGGGAGCAGCGTTTGTGGACAGCTTGTGTGAATTGTTCCTTTTATGCCATTGCATATTCAAGTGAGTTGTTCATTCTTCAAAAAAATCAAACCTGACAAACTAATATGCAATCTACGTTGTAGATCATTCTCTTTCTTCATATTTTCAGTTTATGTGCAAGATTTTTTTCCAACTTTTCTTCTGTGTTTGTAATTTATCTTGCTAAGTTAGAGAAAGTTTCCCACATTAGAGAAAGAACTAAAATTATTTTAACTAAACTAGATACAAGTTTTCAAAAGTGATATATAACTCATTTATCTAAATTTGTGAAGTGTATAACAACACCGAATTATAATTTCAAAAGTTTATTCGTTAAGATTTATTATACTTTTATTTTAAAATTTAATTTATTCTTTTAACATTTCAAATAAAATGCGGAGTATTGTCTTTCTTAAATAATTTATAATTTATTTTGAAAATAAATTATAGTTTTAATATTATCACCATTAGCATTACTCAATATTATATATACACTCGCGTCCTTATACGTCTTTTTACATTCAAACAGCTCTTTTATAACAGCTAATTTTACCAAACATTTATTAACAACAAACTAACATAACCAGCCAATCAAAACAGCTAACACAACCAGTTGTGATCAAACAACTGACATAACCAGCTAACCGCCGATTGCCAAACAATGCCTTATTCTCGTGCAAATAGAGAATTTTTGCCATTTTTTGCCCCCCGACTATTATGTAAATGACACTTTTGGTACTCGACTTCTAATTTTTTCATTTTTAGTCTTCGACTATTGTGCTAGAGACACTTTTAGTCTTCGACTTCAAGGTTTCCCACATTTAGTCCCTAAGTATTATCAAATTAACACTTTTAGTCTTCCCATTATGATTTTGAAAAAATAAGTGGAGGACTAAAAATGTCACTATTATAATAGTTGAAGGACCAAAAGTGTTATTTTTATGAAAGTTGAAGGACTAAATATGGAAATTTTCAAAAACGGGTACCAAAAGTGTCTCTAGCGCAATAGTCAAGGACTAAAAATGGAAAAAATCAAAGTCGAGTATCAAAAATGTCAATGACATAATAGTCGAAGGACTAAAAGTGGAAAAAACTCTGCAAATAGAGCATTTTTTACCAAGTACCCCTTAATAAATAAAAATGACTCGGCACGAAAAAGAGGTTATGGCAACACTCACACAGTTCACCTAAACATTGACTAAAAAATTAGCAATCAATAGTTGTTCTATATTGAAGAGGGAAAGAACCAAATTAAAAGAAACACTGCTGCCCTAAAAGTTTGACATTAATTAAATGATAAGAATAAAGATAACCGAAAGGCCCAAAAAAGCCAAGATCACTGCAAAATGAGGATACACCTTATAGACATCTAACACTTGGGATATTTAAGATGAAGGAGCTTCATCTGACACCTGAAAATCTCCATCTACCAACCTCTTAATTCTTAAACAAATAAAAAATAAAAGGAAATAAAGAGGATGGCGGGTATCCATGGACCTATTTATGAGAATCACAAAATGGAGCAGCCCTTCTGAGATTTTCCCTTCTTTTTCTTCTGCTTGGGTGGTTGTAGTACAACTTTAATGGCAGCATCGAAAACTCCTTTCACATTCTGCAAAAAAGAATAGCACAACCCATATTATAACCAAGGATGAAAAAATGGACCAGGTGTTGAACCGGTCAAGGCAATAGTCAAACTAATATACATGTAAAATCAATGGGCCGGGCATGACTCAATCGTCAGGAGTAATATTCATATAAAATCTTAAAACAAATTCTTCCATACTGAGGTTCTTCCGACAAGTATCCACATACGCACAAACAGTTCTTCACAGGTGTGGACGTGTGGTAAGGTGCAAGAAGTGGATTTGCTAGATATAGAGGTTTGGAAAAGTCCAACGAAGAAGGTGATGACTGATGACACGATACACCTAAGGCCCTTTGGGCAACCCTCTGAGCGGAGGGCCACCCTCACAACGTTTTCTAGAAATCGTTTGTTCAATACTATACTTCAATTAGGTGTTTGTTTTTAGGCTTAGAATTGGAGATAATAGGAGGGCCAATATGAAATGTATGGCCAATATGACATCATTGAGATGTTTCACGAAGAGAGAGACATAGAATTTATGGCTTCATCTCAATACAATCCCAATACAATGTAGTTCACTTTCTTAGGTCCATTTACTAACAAGATTATTTTCTATTTTTCCAAAAAAAATGGAGAGGAAAACTGGAAAACTTTTATTTGTTTATTCTCCAAATTAAAAAACGAAGACATGTTTCTGATTTTCTTCTCAAGTTGGAGAACTCACTTTTGGGTGTTTTCCAAAATGGAAATGCGTAGCACTACAATGCGTCATGTATTTGTTTCGCGCTCGGGTACCCAATCGGGGTGTTTTTTTGAATTGCATATTTTTTTGAGATCTATGCAACAGTGTATATTGAATAATATATTTTATTAATTAAATTAGGAAAATCAATTTTCATGTTTTTAGTGTTTTATAACTTACTTTTATGTATCATAATTTCCCCCCAAAATAAATAGTTTCTGATACAAACTCTAATCAATAGATCATGTAAAAACATGTGGCTTTATGAAAAAGCATTATTAGTATTATGTACTCATATATGTTATGAAAGCATGTGACTAACTTTGATCCATAATTTTGACGTCAAAGTATTACTAGTGTTATGTACTTGTTTTTCAAGACAATGTGACCTCTTATTAAAAAAATGTCACTTATTAAGTCTTGTTCGTGGATGATCATTTATGTCAACGTTTTGTCTTATTTCAAATGTTTCTAATTACGGATTTTTTATTTTGCATTATCAGACATATTAATTTTTAATGGTGTCATGTGATATTTGTCATTTTTTCACCTACGGTTCTATCAGGTTTCAATTTCTGAATGTATATACCTACTTTATGATTTTGAAAACTGAAATGGAAAATATAGGAAATTTGGAAAACATGTGTTCAGATTTGGAAAATGAAAAACTGAAAAAATAAAACAGAAAACAAAAACAAAAGTACAAAAATAAGTAAACAAACTCTAAGTTTCCGTCTCAAAGACCTAAACATGGCTCCTCATCCTTTCTCTTCCTTCAATATTTTCTTTAGTTAATATTAAAATAGATCACTTTAGCCTGTATTTACAATTGATTATCCATGTTTCTTCCTAATGATGTTTAGAGATTTAGTAGTCAGTAGCAGCTCACTGTCTGCCAGATGTTTATTCTCTTTCATCTTCGGTTGAGTGTTCTTGTTTGCTTCGAAGAGTATTGTGCTGAGATTTATTCATCAATACTAGAACTAATTTTCTTCTACACCAACATTGAGGCAATTCATCCTCCTCCTAAACCATTTTCGTGCCACGAAAATGAGATTAGATTATTTACTTTATTTCCGGTGGCTGATGAGATTGAGAATATTTCTACACTTTCCTCAACTGTGATCGACAAAACTAGGAAGATTCTTAGTTCCTTTCCGTGAATGGTGAAGCCGATACACATACTCCCTCCGTCCCATATTTAACTCCGGTTTTGACCGGGCACGGGTTTTAAGATAGTGAGATTTGTGTGGTGGAGAGTTATGCAGATGAGAGAGAAATGTGTAAGAATGGTTGTGAATCACATATTCTTTACCAAAAAGGGAAAAAGGAGATAAATTTGGGACGGATCGAAAAGGAAAGAATGAAGATAATTCTGGGACGGAGGGAGTATTTTATTTCCCCTACCAATGCAGAGGAGAGAGAAATGTGTAAGAATGGTTGTGAATCACATATTCTTTTCCATCATTTGCAATGGAGCCAAAGATTCATTATTTTTTGGCTTGAGATTATGATGGAATAAAGCAAAATGGCTCACTAAACTGTCTGCGCTTCTTTGTTATGGAGCAGTAGTCAGTCCATGCAATTTTGGACGCGATTTTCACCATGGGTCATTCGGAAACAGTCTCTCTGTGCTTTAGTACAGGGGTAAGACTGCGTACATCCGACCCCCCTTACCCCACCGTAGGTGGGGAGCCTTTGCGGCACTGGGGTAAATGAAAATGAAAATGATGACCAATAGCGGGTAAAATCGGTTCTTCTAATGATTATTTTTGTCATAGCGTTTTTCATATCAAATTTGGTAAAGTTTGTGTGACTAAATGATTTTTAATTTATTCTTACTTTATCAATTTAATATCAACCACACAAACTCACTTTTCTTAATAATCGTATCACCTTCTTTTGTCCTAATTTTAGTGGGACGGAAGTAGTAATTCACAAAATCTTTTATTTCAAATTAATAGTTTGATTTTTCAAGTGGGCATTTTTAATAGATAACAATTACTCCCTCCGTCCCTTAAAGGTTTGCCATGTTTGACCGGCACGTAGAATAATAAAGTAAAAACTGTGTGGTAGAAATTTGTGCAGAAGAGAGAGAAATAAGAGGAGCCACAAATTGATTAATTAAAAGGGAAAGTGGTAAAGTTTTTGGGACAACCAAAAAAGGAAAGTTGGCAAAGTTATAAGGGACGGAGGGAGTACGACGTAACAGTTTTAACTTTATTTCAAATTAACCCAAGTGGGCAATTTTAATACTTGAAAAAAGTACTCCGTAATTCACATTCTTTATTTGATTTTTTAAATGGTAATTATTGGTAAAAAAGAAATATCACATGAATGATGTGTAATAAAAAATTTAAGGATTTTTGCATTTAATTAAAAAAATATACTCCCTCCGTCCCATAAAATAAGTCCCATTTTCCTTTTTGGGCTGTCCCAAAAAATTGTTCTCATTTCCCTTTTTGGAAAGTTTTGTGTGGCTAACATTTATTTACCTTTTTCTTACTCAAACACAACCATACATTTTCACTTTATTCCCACTTTCTTACATATCCAAATTGAAATGAGACTTATTTTATGGGACAGAGGGAGTAAATGGTGAGTTAATATATTTGAGGGTGTTGAATTGATGGGATGAATAAGTTTAAAGTGCTTGCGGTTCAGCGGTTAGCGTTAGAGCACGCCTGTTTGGTCCACCGACCGATTTCATAGGTTTCATCCTGGTCTATGATAGTTTTAGGCCGGCTTTCTGCATTGCACCAGATCTGTTCCTACTCGAACTGTTCGTTCCAGTTATTGCTTCGTTGACAATAAATGAATAACTACAGTGCGAAAAGAATACAAACCTGCTGTGACTTTGAACTACATTCAATGTAGGCCGGGGCATCAATCAATTTCCTGAGCTCCTCCCCCTTTACATGGAAACCATATAACACAATTTTAAAGATCACAAATGAACTGTCATATCTCCCTCCATTGTATACAACTTAATTAGCGTAATTACCTGAGCAGTCGTTATCGGGACAGCACCAGGATGGTCTACGAAGAACTGCTTATCATCGCGAAGGTCTGAGGCAATATATAGTTGTAAACAATAAGCACTCAAGGACAAAACAATAGAGGGAGAAAAGCTCGATTCCATCCAGTATGGCAAAATAGATAGATATCACTAGACTACTGTTAGACTTTAGAAGGAAGAAATAAAACATGGGGGGAATTGAAAAACTTCTTTGGGAAAACAGGAAGCTAAGGTATGATGATTTCTTAACCATGCTCGTTAAAATGAACTAATGAAGTGATATCTACTTGAATCCCAAACACAAAGCATCAAATACTTGACAAGAACGCGAATAAAGTATTTCTTACCAAGTTTAGTTCCAACAAGAACTATTGGAACACCAGGCGCATAATGTTTCAACTCAGGGATCCACTGGAAAGATTTATCAATGACCAAATTAGTTCTCCAGCAGCTAAAGTAAAACAAGATTGAAAGAGAAGAGATAATACGACTTTATGACAAAATGAAGTCCTTACCTTTTTGGAAACATTTTCATAGCTGGCTTTACTAATGAGAGAAAATGCCAAAATGAAAACATCAGCACCGCGATAACTCAGTGGTCTTAACCTGTTATAATCCTCCTGTCCTGTTTTGTGCATCATAAGAATATACATATTTTACCGAGTATAAGTCACTCATTAAACAACAAATGCTCAAGAGCATAGGCACATGGCTTCCCATCTGATAGAACATAGGTATCTCAATTATCTAGACTATATGGGAAAAAGAATTACACTTTTACATATTTGGCAGACAAATGAAGTACTTGTATTACGGATTGCATGACATTCCATATACTACAGTAGTATTTATTAAATGAAGATTAGACTAGAATTAATAGCCTTTGAAATAGTTGTTACCTGCAGTATCCCACAACCCAAGGTTAACTGTAGCCCCATTGACCACTACATTGGCACTGAAATTGTCAAACACGGTAGGAACGTAATCCTGTAGAGGATTATGAATGAAAGAAGAAATTATGATTGGAACTGATTTAGAACTATTCCAACGCAGTAGTTATCGCAACGTGGCAGAAAATTCTAAAAACGACATTGAAATCCTTAAGAAATACTACTACGTATTCAAGACCAGTAACCAGTAGTGTACTCATATGTGCATGCCAGATCCTGGAGCCATTTAGCCAAGTAGCCAATCACAGTGAGCTTGGGATTAATGTCAGGTTGTTGTTTTTATGCTTCATAGAATTCAATGTAATACTTGCAACATTTCCAGAAGTTGTCGGCTGCTAGGTATACCAACGTTTTAGAAAAGTAATCTATGGGTTGATCAATTTAATGATAATCATATTTCCAAAATTTAATTATAACAATAACGTTCTAAGTCCCTTGAATTGATATACGGAGTAGTATTATTTTTACAAAGGTATAGCAGAACATGGAGAATGAAAAATCACTCAGAAGTTCTTCCCTGCTCTAGTTCCAACCTCTGTATATTATCACTACACGGTTAATCAGGGAGTAAGAACCACAACAAACACAATGTCTTCTGTTTGTCGGTGTTCACCTCCTGCCAAACTAAGTTGACACATCAAGATGAATATTTCAGATTTTCAGAAGTTTACCGAGAGAGAGTGACTGAGAGATCGCAAAGGAACCGGGTTCTAAGACTACGAAACGTAGAGTAGAAAAACAAGGAAACTGAAAAATTAAATTGAAGGCGTGTGGTTGAATGAACAATGGAATACGAACCGTGGGAAAAGTGTTGCTGGTGTAGGAAATCAAGAGGCATGTCTTGCCAACGGCACCATCGCCCACTGTCACGCACTTGATGAACCTGGACGCGCTCATTCCGAAGGCCTCAGATCTTCCTTCGTCTTCAGAAGACCTGAATTCGAATCAAAATATAAGTACACAAACGCTAGGTATCCGTCTACAACGTTTCCGATGGCATAGCGAAAAGCTGCAAGGGACAGCCAACTAACTGTATTGGCCTTCTCAAAAGATACCCTATCCCCGTCTCCACAGAGAGGGAGCTATACAGGAATGGAGAATTGGCAGATACGGGGAATGAGTAGTACAGAAAGAGCGAAAGAAGAAAATGAATTAGAGAGAGATGATGCAAATGCAGATCAAGCCTTTTCGCCGGAAAACAATGCCGTTGAATCGTTCGCGCCTGAATTACAGGAAGAATCAGTCTGGCTGGCGAAACTGTGCTTTGTTTAGGTCCTTTATTTTGTTAAAAAATTACACATGGACTTTCCACCACACATGAACCTCATGTCTGTCCCCTACTTAACTTGCACATAAATTTTCATCGAGTATGATCTCAAGTCTCAACTTATATACGTATTTTTATGTTTTACAATGTTTTAATAAGACTAATTTCAATCGCAAATAAGATAAAACTTGAACACATCGCATCAGAGTAAACTTCAATAGTTATAAAATCCTCTATACTTAATAGCAATACAAATTGATCTGCATCGTTCATCTAAATATGATCCTTTAGCTAACAACATAATCCATCATCGTTCATCTTAATATGATCACTTCTCTTAGCAAAAGAACCTATCTCTTTCCCTATCACGTTTCTTTCGTCTTCTTTTCCTTCCATCATTGCAGCTCTTCTTCCGCCGATCTTTTGCTTCCACCTTCTCTCACTTCCGATTCCCTTTCACTTTTTCTTCCGCTTCATCGCCTTCTCCTTTTTCCTTCCGCTTCTTTTTCTTCTTTCTTCTTCTCAAGTCGGAGTTCCTCAAAAATTTTTGTGTCGGCAACAACATGAAATCTGTCAAAAAAGAAGATACTTATCTGCCTAAATCTACCGGGAGTCATATCCCATGAAGTTATATATGAAAAAGAAGATGGCTATTCATCTACCCGAAGTCATCTACCGAGAGTCATTTGAGCGGAAATCATCCAAAAAAAGAGATTGGTATTCCTTCCTTCAAATTGATCTTCTTCTTCTGGAATCGTCTTAGCCGGAATCCAGCCGATTATATATGAGATCAAGGTAAACTATTCTTCTAAACTAGTCTTATATGCTGCTAATAACGAGTAAAGTATTTGCTACTTAATCAGTAATAATATTATCTATGCAAGTTGTCAATTTTCTTGGAATAGAGTAATTCTCTTAAAACCCTTTTTTTATGTTGAGTTCTGATGCTGATCGTAATTTAATTACATTATCATGTATTAGAGTTTACATTTGACCTGTAGTGAATGATAACAAGAATAAAACTTTTGTTAGAAAATGATTGTGATATTTTATTTCTTTATTGTGGTTGTGGTTGGGGCTTCACTTAGTTGAAGATCTATATCTATGTATTGTTCAAGACAATGATCATCTACATGGTTTATTATTCTATTTTTTTATATGGAGAGCTTCGGAAGTGAAGTAGTTCCACAAAATGATGGTGTGCTCTTTTTTGCATTCAATGTCTCTTTTTTAGAAACACTCTATTTGTTAAGAGACATAGATATATCTAAATATAATAAAGTAAATACAAGAGATGCTAACATCATTCATCCAAGTGTATCGCTTGGGAGAACTCTACATGTTATTAAAACAATTAACACCATTTTATGATATACCGTTGTTGTAAACTGGCTCGATGAAGCGGTTTTTTATTATTTCAACCTCAAAATGAACTTTCACTATTCCAGCATGGGGCTAATGACCTTTCTATAATCTGTTGCCTTTTTCTTTGAACATGATATTAGAATAAACTAATTGTGGAGGACCTAAATAATACTCTGGTCTGAAATTAGTTTGGACTCTAATGTATTTTTGATATTGTTATCTCACATTATTTCATATATCTAGCCACTTTACATGTTTTTTATGAATGTTTTCTTATAAAAGGCTCAACAATGTAAATTAAGATGCTTTAGTCAGGATATCTTTTCTAAAGTTTGAGTTTTATATATGGGATGTTCTAGCATCCTTGATACAGTTTTCATACACATCAAATAGAGATCAATTTGAAAAGTTGCTTAAAGTTTTTTCTAAAAATATTAATGGCCATTTTTTAGATTTTAAGCCACCCTTTTTTGTTTTTCAATTCTTCATATTGATAGCTCTCTTTCTTAAACAAAAAAAATGAATGAAAAGTGAAAATGAAAGAAGGGTGTCTTATGTTCGTTCTCTAATTTGCACTAATTAAGGGGCTTAGTTGTAGGTATATAGTTTGGTGATAGTTTTAGTGTCTCGAGAAGCTTTGTCGGCCTCTCTCACCCGCAGTGGTAGAGGAAATCGCCTTCGCTGTTTGAAGCCATTAATGGCCCGCACCTCAGGCCTCTGTAGCTCCTACGGAGAGCAGCCAATCTTTTTCTTTGATCTAAGCTTTTCCATTCGAATCGGTAGATTCGAAATTCTGTTCATCAGGTTCTAAGTTATGTCCCCAATCACTTTTATCTGCCTAAACCTTCTTGGGGTCAGTGTTTCAACTTGGTTGTGTGGCTTTTTCAAACAACACCTACTATAATTAAGGTATTTTTTGACGACCTAACATTCTTTTTTGGTTTTAGATTAGATGGCACTTAAGAAATTACATTTCTCAGTTTGTGTAATTTAGTCAATAAGACAAAATTCCATTTCAGCAAGTAATGGTGTTGTTGATTACTTTGTTATAATCACTTCATTACTATTGTACACATCTCATATTCATCACTCACCATTTCAGCTTCCATATAAACCCCAAATGTCTCATCTCACTCGCTGCTTTCCTCGTGTTTTCTCCCGATTCCGTAGCAAATTAAACAATCCTCTGTCAAAAACAACACAAGTTGCAGCACTTCTTGGAAGAACAATGGAGGACAATTGGCGGGGCTACTTCGTCCGACATCCATTTTCCCCGCGCTTTTGTCGCATTCTTTTCTAACAGGTAACTGAAATAAAGTTTCTGTGTTTTCTTCATTTTTCGTTATGTCAAATATCAGAGCTTTCACTCAAATTCATTTTTCACTTAAATGCTAAATTGTCAAAACTCAAATTCATATTCATTTCGTGATGTTTTGACATTGTTTTACAAAATGAATTTAAAAAAGACCTATGTTTACTTGATTTTGGTAACCATTTGAATATGTTAATGTGGCATCTGTTTATTTATTTATTTTTTAAAATATGGTTTTAAATTCAGCAATCTATGAATGGAAAAGTAAAGGTAAATTATTCCACACTGAGCTGTCGAGTTCAGAACTGGATTGGGAAATTTATTTTGAAATAAAGAAGGAAGAATATGGATTTTATTTAAGATAAACTTTAACATGGGAAATTGATAAAGAACTCTTTATAAAAATAAAGAGGTCTTTATTTTCTGTTTTGGTGCCCAATGTTCTAAAAGACACTAGCCATCCATAGGCACTCGACAGTCACAAAATATTCCGATAGAAACTTCATGAACCACTCAAGTGTGCCTTGAGAGAATCACCATTTCAACTTTATCTTCTCCCAATAAGAAAGGATGTTGTTTTATGAAGCAAAACCTATATTCTATTGTATTTGTAATTTGGTACTCTCTAATACTGCCTATGTGATGTTTGATAAAATGTTTAGATCATTTTTGTTTGTTTTTAATTTTCCTTTGATTTTAAATAGCATCATAGAAAATAAACACTGATGTCTTCATATGGCTCCTGCAACATTGATTTTCCTTTTCCCTTCAACATTTGTGATGAAATACAAAGTTCTGTATCAAATGGCATCTGGCTTATTAGTATTTCTATTAGGTCAGCCTCTGGTATTATGACATCAGGTCTGCCCCTGGTTATTGCTATTATTATATCACCATATGCAATTGAGCGTTGGAGTTCATATGGTAAAAAACAGAAGTGAGGTAAAGCTCTTTCACCTCCTTCCTTTACTAATTCTTCTTTCCCACTTATGGAGTTTTCCGGACTTTTGTTTTTAGCCATTTTAAAAACTACTCTGTATATTGGAACGGAATCAATTCTAATGAGTTAAAAGTTGAAAGTGAACTATTACTCGGTTAGATTTTTTTGGTTTTGTTTTCTTAATCTTCTTTCTTGAATCCAGAAATGCAATGTGTTAGTATTGGTTGAAATAACTAAAAAATTACTAAGATCATGCATTCCAAATTCTGAAATATACATTTAATAAAATTTTGTAAACGTTTGGTTAAAAAACAACTTTGTCCCATGATTTAGCGAAACTTATATAGTGCAGCTCTTTTCCACTTCTTCTAAGGTACAAAACATGTATTTAGCTTCGGTTGGTATAATCAAATAAACCTTAACATACATTTCTACGTTTACTTATAATATTAGATCACTAAAATTATTCCTCATGATCATACCTTATGACTATTCATTCGTTAGTTAGTTCATAAATAAAAACAAGAGTTTCAGCTAATCGAATTCCAGCGGATAAAAAGATAAGTTTAACAACATTTTTTCTCTTCTTTTTTGTAAGATGATTTGGTTTTGTTCACTTATCCAGGATTTTATGAATAATACTTGAAACTGATTTTGATACCAGAAAAATGTATTCTTGGGTTTTATTTTATCTATTTTAATATTTTTTCCAATATTTAATATTTTACGGAGTGTTCTTGAGTATTATTTTATCCATTTAAAAAATCTGAGGGAGTGACAGTTTAGTTTTAATTTTTCAGAAAAAATGTTTGGTATTATTTTTAGTTTTTATGAATAATACCAAACATTTTTTCTCTTCTCTTTTATTTTATCAACTTTCACTTTCCTCATTTATGGAGTGTTCTTGAGTTTTATTTTATCCATTTTAAAAACTATATTTTTAGTTTCATTTCTTATTTAGTTATTTTCTCCACTTATCCAGGAATTTAATGATTTACACACCAAAGAGTGCATAATAGCCTCCATATAGTTTGATTGGTAGCTATGAACGAATTTGGGTATCTTATTGGACAATACATGCAGCAGATAGAGTTGACATAGTACTGATGATGTAACACCCCGGTCCCGTAGGCCCCGAGGTAGTTACTTCTGACCTCTAGTACTGTCCTCACAAACCGCCACTAGCCTTTTCCACGCACTTTGTCCTCACTCGTGCGCGCCCTGAGAAACTTCCCAGGGGGTCACCCATCCCAAGACTACTCCCGTGCAAGCACGCTTAACTTTGGAGTTCTTGGCTAATAAGCTCCCTTAAAAGGAGATGCACCTCTGTTGGTATGAGTAGTACTATTAATCCTCTTAAATTAATCTCGGGTATTACAGATGATCCTGAATTTTTCAACAAGTTGGAAACCATTTGCAAGTCTCATATAAATTGCAAGGTTAGAAGTCTTCCCCAAGATTCGTGCAGG